CTTGGCATGGCGCCCGGTGGCGCACTCTGGCGAGGTGGCTGAACTCTGACCAGCCCAGAGAAAACCCCCTTCTCTGCCCCCGACAGTTCCCCACTCCCTCAGCCCACCCCCGCCTTTCCTACATTCCAGTCTTTCACTGTCGCCCTAGGCAACTTGGCTGCCCAAGACCAAACCCTAGGGAGGAGAGGCTGGAGGGTCAGGCAGGAGTCCAGGCTGGGCAAGCAGGGAGGCAGACAAGGAAGGAAGAGAGAGGCTGAACAGAGGGAAGATGACTCCAGAAAGCAGACCCAGCATGGGAGTGAGAGAGCCAGGTAGGGCACAGAGACGGGAAGCACGAGAGAAGGTGGGGCAGCAATGGAGGCCCAGACACATGGTGGGGACAGCTGCTCTGTGAGCAAATGAAGAGGCACAAGTTCTGTTCCTGCTTCCTTAGGTACTTGTGACTGTGTATGTGTGTGGGGAGTGCTTGAGCCTCGGGCCCTGGTCCAGATCTGGGAGCAGCACTCACCACAGGAGCAGCAGACAAAGCACTGGGTGTGGTAGAGGCTGTCCAGGGCCTGGCAGGCGTTGCTTTGCCCATAGATGCCTTTGTTGCACTTGATACAGGTGCCTGAGGGGAGAGATGTTGTCAGCATCACATCCTACTCCCCCTGCTCAAAACCTGGGATTCCCGGTCTTTCCTGATTGTGCCAAGTACCACAAGTCAGAGCCTCCCTTTGATGGGCTCCCTTCTGGGAAAAGAAGATAATAAGAAATGGAATGAAGCAAGGTCTTGGCTGAGTGGACCCATGCTTATTTATTGATTAATCAACAGATATTTATTATCTGAACATCTGTTTTGTGCCTAACAAAAATATTGTGCTCAATACTGTGGAAAACTGGAGGCATGTCAAAGATATGGTCCCTGGCCTTCAAATGCTTACTTTTTACTGGGGAGAAAAGACTAAACAGACTATGATCCGTGTTGCACCGTGGGGGACAATAGAGATGCCAGTGCCCAGGGGTAGACTCAAAAACACTCCCTAGGGCCGAAGCCGGTTTGGCTCAGTGGATAGAGCGTCAGCCTGCGGACTGAAAGGTCCCAGGTTCGATTCCGGTCAAGGCATGTACTTGGGTTGCGGGCACATCCCCAGTAGGGGGTGTGCAGGAGGCAGCTGATCGATGTTTCTCTCTCAATGTTTCTGACTCTCTATCTCTCTCCCTTCCTCTCTGTAAAAAATCAATAAAATATATATTCTTAAAAGAACACTCCCTAGGGACAGAAGGCCGGGCCTAGAAGGCCTCCCTGGGATGTGTGTCTCCGTCTGTAAAATGAGCTGGTGTTTTGCTACGGAAGGACTTCTCCCTGCTCCATACCGCCAGGCTTCCATGTGCGGAAAAAGAAGGAACTGGCTCAGCAGTGGGACCTGTGCAGGGGGGACCCTGTGAGCATGACTCCTGGGGGAGGCGGCTGCTGAGAATGCAGGGTGTGTTCCCAGAAGGGCTGCACAGGAAGAGGGGGATGGGTGATAGAACCCCTAAGGTCTCTCAGTCATCTTCCTTCATGGGAGGGTCAGAGCTGAACTACTCCCCGCCACCCCCCCACAAACGCATACACCTGGCTCTGGCACCCGCCTTTCCTGGGTGTGTTCTTTCCTCCCTCCACTCCCCAATTCCAGGCCCATGAGTGAAGCTGAGGGCCTGTCTTTGGGGAGCAGATCCCAACGGGCCTGCCTCACCCCGCCCCACCTCCCCCCCTCGGCACTCTGCCACACTCCTTGCCTGTTGGGGCCCATCCCAGTCTTTGCCCAGAGGCTTGGGAGCCCGTGCAGCAGCTGCAGCAACTGATGGGCCCAGGCCTGTCCTGCTCCCACCCTCTGGCAGCTGGGCAAAGCTGTAGCCAAGGAAGAGGGCCCCTACTCAGGACAGGAGCAGGAGGGTACAGTTAGGCTGGGGGTTCTTGCAGAGGAGCCTACCTGACCCACAGGGAGAAGAGGCCCCTCCCTCTGGGGTCAAAATGTGGCCTCCCCATGGGAGTGAAGATCTGCCCCAAGATCGCCATGCCAGGAGGCCCGGCCAAAGCCATTTCTTTGGGACATTATGGGAAGATAAGAGCAAACTGCTCAGGCATGTCCGCCTCACCTCCTCTAACCCAGATATCCAAACCTAGTTTCTTCTTGTCATTTTATTGCACTTTATCTGAATTCATTTTTCCTTTTGGCTCTGATGGTTTAGCCAACGAGACCTCTTTCCATCCAACACCCATTTCTCCTGGGCCTCAAAAGAAAATTGCAAGAAGCATCCTGTTACTTAGTCTCCCTTGACCAAAGCTTCTGCTATGGGCTTTCCTCAAAGGGCAGAGGGAAAAGGATGGGGGCGATTGAGTTGGGCCAGGCAGGCCCCTTCCAGTCTGCAGCCCTACCACCTCTGTACCTCCTCTGCAACGCCCCCTCCCTGGCTGGGGTTCCCCCCCTATTCACACTTCTAGCCATAGAGGTCTAGAGCAGGACATGGGTGGTGAGAAAGGTAGGAGATGCTTGGAAAACGGAAGAGGCCCATAGCCCTGGGGGTGAGCCCTCCATTTCGTCCTGTCCTTCCTCTCACAGTCAGATTAGTATTGATATAGTGAAGTAGTGCCTGTAGGTCTTGGCTAAAAGGTATTTCAAGACCCCCATATCCCCCCATAGCTGAGACATAAAATCAGTACTTCTTAAAGATAACCACGTGGGGGCAGGGGGAGACGGCGACCAGGCTTCCTTAACAGCAACAGAAAAATAGGAGGCTACTTCTAGCTGAATTCTGAGCAGGTTAGGGCCAAACTGAAGGCCAGGTGATGCTGGCAGTTCCACAGGGTTACCCATCGGGGCGAGGGTGACCGGCGGTCATGCCTTCTGCCCTGACTTCCGGATGGGAAAACAGAAGCGGACACCACCAGGTCTCTGTTTAAATGCCCGGGCGCGCACCGAGCCGGCAGGACTGGGGCGGGCAGCAGTAGGGTCCCTGCTTTCCTACCCAGGGCGCTTCATCCTCCCTCCCAGGCCGGCTCTGCGCGAGTTCGGAA